ATGCTTGACAATGGGATAGATTTTGAGGCGACAAGTTCGTTACATATTCTTAGTAGCTGGAAAGAAGGTAATTTACGGGTTTTCTGTAATTTTCCACTAAAAGTTAAAACTTTGTTGACTTCCCGCAACCACATATCAATTTGATGAGAGTTAATTCCTTCTACATCTTTCCCACATATCTTATTAAGCATCATCGTTGTTATTTCGTGAACAAGGAACTCTTCGAAAGTGGATCTGCTGCCTCTTGAAGTAAAATCTTTAACTATTGACGGACACATCTGAGCCAATTGCATATCCGTCAGGATTGTGCTTGAATTTATCCACCAGTAAGCATGCAATAGAACCGGATCATACATTTTTTCTTCACCCAAAAGTTGCCTCAATAACAATGCTAATAATTCCCTGTTGTTTTTTCCTTCTCTAGCTGAAACAATGGTCACAAAATCATTAAAGTATTTTTCTAAATGTGGTTCAATCATTTGTTCTCTAAGATATGACAACGATGAGTAGACGCTAGATTTGAATGCATCGTGAGCCATGGCCTCAACGTTCATGTGAAGATCCCCGGATGATGGATCGCAATTTTCTTTATCCTGTTTAAGTTTATCAAGCTCTGCTAAAAAGATGCCCTTAAAATCATCAATTTTTCTCATAAAGTAATACGAGAACGGGAACTGTAAATCGTAAAGTTGATTCGGTAATACATATCGGTCAGGTATGGGTTCGGGAAGTTCATCAATTTCAATTACTTTAGGATCTTTAAACAAAATTTTCCAGAATAAAAGTAAGGGGCTCTCCTCGTTTCCGGGTTGGTCGATGTCGAAAAAGGTTTTAATAACTGATAGCCTTTCGAGAGAAAATAAAATTCTTGCGACAGGAGCTCTGACCATTGTACGAATGCGAGCTTGTAGAGCAGCCGAGAAAGAAGAATACGGATAGAGTAATTTTTTATTAGATGCGACTTCATATTGCCAATCCATAGAAGATTTTTCCTCTAGCCAGATCAGAACTCGTTCCTTTAGACACTCGATGAAGTTTGGATGCTTGAGAATTTCGGAATTGAGAACCCTGCAATGTTGACGTAAAATATATTAAATGTTAGGAGGATATCTATCTACCCTTGATGTTTAAATTAAATGTTTGACGTTTACCTGAGATGATGAATAGAATTTTCAGTAGATGGATATTTCATGCACAGCAGACACCACAATAATTCCTGTTTCAATATATCTTCAAATTTGTAGGTGGTATTCAATATGCTCTTTAAGGATCCATCCAAAAGTGTTGACAAATTCTTTTCCTGTGGCGCCAACGTTTCAATTGTAACTTTTCTCCATCCACACATAAAGTTGAAGGATAAAAAGTTGGTTTCTTGTTCTCTGTGAATGTGCAGGATAATGCACGCATGTTTAGCTGGCACTCCCGCTTTTCTGGTCCTTATAAATTCGTTACGGTATTGCTCAATGATGAATTTTGCCAACTTAATGCATCCAGCATTTGCGGTAGTCACATCGCATTGAAGAACAAGCATTTGATCATCAGATTCTAACCAAAAATGTTTAACCCTGTTTTGAAGTTGGGCTTCTGTTCTAAAAGTAGAAAGTTTATCGACTTGGACGCGTAGTATCATATCCAGACATTTTTTTACATCGGTGTTAATGTTTGAAAATGTATTAACAATAACCAATAATGGGTCTGGATAGGCAACGCCAACTTCATAAAACAATGCCATGAAATAATCAGCCAAGTGATCATGATGTTGGTTATTAGATTCAGCCGAGGGGAAGTAAACCAGTTTCCAACGGAGGCTTTCTTCCTTATCCATCGCAGATTTGGTGGCCCTTACAATTCCATCAGCTGAAGCAATGGCAATAAGAGATTCCTTGCATAACGAAAGAATCTCTTCGTACGTTTTACCTTCATGTTTGTGCGTAACATCAATAACCAAACTTTGCAAAGTTTCCTCTGGATCATAACCAATAAAGAGATCTTGTAATGTAAAGTCTTGACGAGCTATGTTATTCTTTCCAACCAGGGTGGCCATTTGTTTTGCCCAGGTAATCAAAGTTCCCACGATTCCTCGTTGTTCATCTGTGAGCATATCTTCGATTGACATTTTTTGCTTTTCAAATCTATTCAGAAGGGGTGGATCGGCTTTTTGCAATTTAGCTTCATCTAGGACTAAAATGCATCTAAACGTGTTGTTGACATACCTAAAAAATATATAAACTTTAACAAAATATTTAACATCATGACGACCAATTATCACTATTACTTACAACATCGGATTAGCATATGCTCCAAGTGCAACCCTGGTAAAGTATCGAGGGTTATCTTTACTTCCGTAGACGATATAATTTTGGTTCCACAAATCGTAGAGAGCGCCTATAATTTAGTTAAAGAAAACAAAATAAAAACAAATTTTTGATCAAAATAACTCTCTGGAGAATCTTATGAAAGCATAGATAATTCCGTAAAGATACCATAAATAATTTCCAAATCAGTCAAAATGAGAGGTCTTCCGGCCTCAACGCACATCTAGAAAGGAAAGAGTTAATCGAGAACTGAGAGTTAATTGATAGAATAAATAATAACGTACCATGATTCTACTCAATACGCTATACGAATAATCTTGCTGATCATCAGGGA